TTTTTTTCCAAGACCGGTAGGGGAGTCACGCCCGCCATGCCCGCCTTTGTTGGCTTTGGTGACCATGATTGGGGTGTACGGATTCACATTCCAGGGGAAGGGGCCCGAGGGGTTGAAGGGTTACGAGGACCGGGAGAGGGAGGCCCCCAGGGAGGGGGTTATAAAGTTTGGAAGGGAGCTAAGGGGTTGGGGCATGTAGGGGGGCATTTCCCCTTAAAGCGCGGGGAGATTGTGGCACCCCTTTTTAAACCCTTGGGAAAACCACGGAAATTATTGGCGGAGGGGGAGAGGAGGGCGGGGGGGTTTTCATTTTTTCCATCCTTTAAGTTGTTAGACCAAGGCCCCCACTTCCTGGGGGGGAGGGGGGGATGTGCGGTTTTTTGGTTTTCCCGGGGTACTTTTCCCAGGGGGGAAAAAATATATTGTTGTTCTCCCTTGGTTTGGCCCCGCCAATTCAGAATATTCGGGGTGGACGGGGGGGGGGGGGGGGGGATGTTAGGATATAGTAGTCGTCCCCGCTTCAAGGCCACTCATATTTTGGGTGGTGTGAAGGAATGATGCATGCAATCCCCAAGGATGGAAAGGGAAACAGCCCTAACCTTGATTGAGGTGGATTGGTGCCTACAACAAGGCGGGAATCCAACCGGGGGAGAGAAAGAGAACGGAAATTGAAGACCGAAAATAGAGACTAAATCGATTTTGGAGGTTTCCAGGGAGGGGTTTCGGGTTGGGACGTGATCGCCGACGGACCTTTTTTTTTTTTTTTTTCGTCGTGTAGATGTTTCGATTGGTGCGCAACTTGTCGTCAAGAACGCAGGCGCCCCGAGCCGCAGAAATTATTGCTCTTGTGGTGTGTTGCTGTTGACGTTTTCTGTTGGTGGTGTGGGCGTGGTCGTTGATCCATGGCACGACACAGGCCCTGGAGGTGTTCGACCTCATGGAGAGCTACGAATACAGCCCGGACAAGAGCGATGATAGGTGGAGAGATGAGGAGAAGGCCAGCGGGTGGAGGGGAGGCGATGGGGGCATCTCGGCCGACGAACGCATGGCCAAAGAGGAGGACAGGACAGCTCCGACAGCGGGCGAGTACCGTTCGATGCTGCACATCTTGAGCCACAGCAGGGACGCGGAGCGGGGGGCGAACTGGGAGAGGTCGATGGAGCTCCTGAGGGAGGCTCAGGAGAACGAGCTACCCATCTCGGAGAGTTCCTTTCAGACAGGTACTGTATGTATCTACATGTGGTGTAATTGTTTTTTGTATTTCAGACAGGCAGGATATCTACCTGCGGCGGACTTTTCTAGTGTTTAAGACTGGTATCTACTTCATGTACATACGGTGGATCTCTCTTCTTTTTTTTGCTCGGTGGTGTCGTTTTTGGAACTCTTCCAAAAAGTATAGTGTACCCGGTACCGCTGTATGGTGGATGTGCTTGTTTTTTTTTTGTCTTTCCACTCCGCGAGCACTATTTGGTCCTGATATGTGTGTCTATCGCGCGTCGCGCATGCCGCTAATTGCTGCGGTCTTGATTATTGATTCCGTGTGTTTTGGTTGGCTGCAGTGATGACCGATCTCGGGTTCGCCGGAGAGGTCGACCTCGCGTTTTCCATCTACGACGACATGCGTATGGCCGGCATCCCCCCCTCGCTCGACACCTACAACCGCCTGCTAGGGGTCTGCGAGAAGGTGCGGGGTTGTTTGGAAGTTGTCTTGACGTTTAAGGATGTACTTAGTAGGTCGGTTGGTTCCCCCCCCCCCCGCCCCCAGGAGCAAGCCTGCAATGGTTTCCGCTCCGAGGGATCTCACTCGAAACGACTGTTCCGAATACCACATTATTTGTTACCATCGTCACCACCACGTAGCATTGCGATTAACCCTTTCCCCCTGCCCAAGGTCTAGGGTGCACACCACATCCAAAGTGCTCTATGTGTTGGTAGTGCTTTGAAATTGTGGTCTCCAGGTGCAACCTCGAGCTGTTGTGGGTGAGTTGAAGCCAGGGAGGGGGTGCGCCCCCGTGGTTTGGGGTTACGACATGACGAGGAACAGACAGAAGGATGCACCGTGGACCGCGTGCTGCTGTTGACCATGACCATTACCATTGTGCTGGGTGGAATAATGCGGTGTTTTTGCACGTGGGACAGCATGGCCTGAGATGGTACTTTTTTATGCATGTGCGACGGCAATACTGCTGTAGCGGTCCCCGCTGCTCCGGCGCATGCATGCCTCTTTTTTCGGAGTGGACACCCGATACTCCTCGGGACAGTCCAAACCCCAAGACCCAGCAAACGTCCGATGACCCCGCGCCCCTCCCCCCCCCAAACTGCGTATTCGGGGGAATCGACCAAGCAGAACAAAGAGTGGGATCGCGCCTTCAAGATCCTGGACGAGATGAGCGAGCTTGCCATCAAGCCGGATATTGTTTCCTTTGGCGCTGCGATCAGCGCGTGTGGAAAGGTGCAGCATGTTGGATGGGGTTTTGGTAGGGTAGCCCTCGTACTTTTGCTTGCGGAGGAGGTGGGCGGGGGGAGGGGGGGCGGGAGCTTGTGATTCAGTTCTGGATGCGGTTGTGTCATTTTTGTTCGCTTTTTTTTTGTGTTGTGCTTTCTAGTGTCAGTGCAGTTTCTCAACGCACCATTGGTTTTCTTTTTTTCTCAAAGACAACGTCACCAACCTGCCAAAAAAAACTTCCGAACACGATATTATTTAGGGGCTGGAATGGCGGAGGGCCCTCGCGCTGCTGGTACGCATGCAGCACGACGGGATTGAGCCCAACCTCCAGTGCTTCAACAACGTGATCCACGGGCTTGGGCTTGCGGGGGAGTGGAAGCGGGCGGAGGCGATGATGGAGGTCATCCACAAGACTGGCCTGGTGCCGGACAGCTACACGTACAATAGCATGGCCATGGCGTATGCCTCGGTGAGAGGACGGGGGGTTGGGGGTTGGCGGCAGCGGTGGACAAGCGTGAGGCGCAACCGCCCGTGTGTAGCGTGGGAGATTGCGGGTAGAGAGGGCCGTGATGTGCTTGTGTTTTGGGGCTTTTGGTTTGCACGAATGCGTGTTTCGCCAGCAATAACGAGCCAAACAGGTCACAAGCACCACAGCCGAGAATGGTGGTGGTCGCAAAGGTGCAAGTGGTTACTCATCTTGTCATGTTGTTTGGTGTTTGACTGACAAGAGACGGATTATGTGATCAACACGACCGAGCGGTGTGTACAGTAGACTGGCACTAGAACAGACAAACGGGACGAGTACCCACACATGCATGCAAAGACATGCAAAGACACCGACCGCATGATGCTCTAAAATTCATCTTGGGGTGGTACGCATGCCGGCATGCCGAACCGGCGTTTGCAGCCCGAGCCCTTATGCCAAGCCGCGTCGCATTATGCCTTGTGGCAGGCGGGAGAGTCTGACATGGCCCTGGACGTGCTGGACACGATGGAGAAGAACGGGGTCCAGCCGGACAAGGTAACGTACGGCACTCTCATGAAGGCCTGCGACGGGGAGGGCGCTTTCAGCATCATGCGGTCTCTCATGGATGAGATGGAGCAAAGAGGTGTGTGTGTCTATGGGTGAGGGGGGCACACAGATGGATATCAAGGAGGGGTTTCGTGGAGAGCCATTGCCATGTGTCGATGCCGCGGGGGTTGAGACGCCGAGAAGGGAAGAAACGCATTTCGCCAGAGGTGGATGTGTTTGCGTAGTCTAGTTAGAGGTGACGTGTCATAGGGTGGTGATCTCCTACTCCTACTATGACACGTTGGCGATGATTGTGTTGCCGTTGTGGTCGGGTACTCCTGTTGGTGGTGGTGGCTACGAGGTTGGTGTTGGTGTTGGTGTTGATGTTGATGTCGATGGTGTCAGTGGTGGGTGTCCGTGTTGATCGCTGATCGTGGTTGTCGTGTTGGTGTTGACTCCTGGGGTGTATGTGCTGGAATGAAGTCAGTATCAGTCGTAAGCATTTTGGTGGAAATAGTCAAATGTCAAGCCGTAAGTATTGGTACTGGTGTACTATACAAACGCTCCTCCTTTCACCATTCGACCCTTCGGTTGATTTCCATTTTGATCAAGAATTGCAGATGTTCTGTGGGTATCAGTAGAGCCATAGGAAAGTAGTGCATCGGTCTACTGTCCGGTAGGGACTTTTAGGATTCTTGCCTAAGGTCGGGGTACCCACCTCATACCTACCGTGATCCGTAGAGTACAATCGCTTGTGGTGTTCGCTAAGCCGCATCGCTGTGCCCATGGCGCTGCTGTGACGCTCGTTGCGGGATGGGATGGAATGGGATGGAATGGGCGGAATGGCGGTAGTGCTTGCGTCGGAAGGGTTCGTGAAGAGGTTGCGGGCGTTTACGAAGTTGCTCGTTCAGCAGCGCGGCGTCCTGCGTCGAGCTTGTACCGCTGCCGGTTCGGTGTCAGAACGCTGGCGCTCCGGCCGCGGTTGCGTTGTTTGCTGCAGGACAGACAAATAGCCACACCATGGTGTGCGCCGTTGTTGTTCCCGAACTCGCAAGGGAGGATAGCCACACCATGTTTATTGCCGTTCATTGACCGTGGTGTGTCTATCTTCCTTCGAGAGTTCTGCAACAAGAACGACGTAAACCATGGTGTGGCTATCCTGCTTTTGTCTGTCCTGCAACAAATCACGCAACCGTGACCGGAGCGCCAGCATTCTGACACCAAGCCGGCAGCGACACGCGCTCTACAGTATGCAGAACGATCCAATCTCCTGGGCAGCTCCTTCTGCGTGGCTTTCTCCCACTCGGATGCTTGCGGAAATAGGGAAAAGATTCTCGATTTGAACTGCCAGATAGTTCTGCGTACGTATGCAACGGGGGAGAGAGAGCAGACCGTGACGGTGGCTGCGGCTTCTGTTGCAGTGTCGACCGAGCTCACGTCGTGCTAGCTGTTGCTGTCCCTGCCTCCTTCCCGTCTCACCGCGCTGCACCGGCTTCCGATTACCTTGGTTTTCGCGCACCGCAGGCATTCCCATGACGGTGCACCACTACACTACCTGCATCGACGCGGCCAACAGGATGGAAGGGACCGGAATGGGGTGGGAGTTGTGGAGGCAGATGGGCGTCAAGGGCGTGGAGCCCAACAACTACGCCTACAGCGCCATCATCACCACGGCTGCGATAGACAGGGACGTCAGGACTGCGCTGAGGCTGCTCGAGGAAATGAAAACGTGAGCATTTTGTGTTATCGGACGTCGGCAAAATGTTTCCAAGAAAGAAGAGTTTGCAACCACACTGCTGTTGTCTATTTTGTGAGGTACATGACCTGGTTTGCATCCTCAAGGTGTGCACCAGCTTGTATCTGGTATCTAGGGATTTTTGTGCGTTGTGTAGGCGTTTCGGTGTTGGGGGTCCGGCGCCTGCGTGGCGCGTGAGTGTTTGTAGTGAGCGTCCTGAGGACACATGACCATTCGCCGTCCAGCGAGGCTGTCCAGCGCAACGTTGACGTTCCTCACCACCGAGCCGACTATGATGTACGCCGCCAAACCGCCAAAAACAATCTGTGCCAAGCAGGAAGGGGATCAGCATCGACGTCGTGAGCTACACGAGCGCCATCTGCGCGTGCGGTCCTGACTGGCTCCTGGCGCTCGACGTCCTCGAGGAGATGGACAAGGACGGCGTTGCGCCCAACCTCCTCTCCTTCACCGCGGCGATGGGGGCGTGCTTCAAGGGCGAAGAGCCTCGGGAGGTGATCAACGTCTTCAACAGGATGAAAGCGGCGGGCGTAGCGCCGGACCTGCGGGCCTACAACCTCGCCATCATGGCCCACGACGCGGACGAGAACCACTACGGCCGCGCTAGCCTCGAGGCCGAGCTGACGGAGGCCGGGCTGAGCCTCCAGGACAAGGAGTGGGAGACGGCGTGGGTGCCTCCCCCTGACCTCGGCGGAGCGTTCTCGGAGATCGGCGAGCCGGGGTACGACGTGGGGCCACCCCGCAAAGCGGGGGGGGGCAGGTGGGGGGACCAGGGGTCGGGGGGGGGCAGCAGCTACGGGCAGTTCGAAGATTACGAGGGGGGGGGTATTTTTATTTTTT